TAAATTATATATACATATCTCATCATTAAGCTGCACACCTGAAACTAATATAATATTGTACCTCAACTATTAAATATAATTGAAAAGTAAAAAATTATTTTTAAAGTGTTGTTTGGCATAAAGATTTTGACATATCCCAGGTATATGTAGAAAGGCACTGCGTGTTTGTATGCACACATCAACATATTTAGCATACACAAGAGCTATGCTTTGCTTTTCAGCCAACAGCTAGCAGTTTGCTGAAGCTGATAAGCCCTGGCAAGGCAGCCTGATTACTGAAGTTGGCTGAAGGTCAGACTATCCCCTGAGATAAGCACCAACATCTTTCATCAAAGAGTGAGGACGTCCCTAGCTGGGTGTCTTCATTGGCTGGAATATCTGTCATCCCATGCACCAAAAATCTGCAAGTTCAATTGCAGGTCAGGGCATATAATTAGGTTACAGATTCCATTCCTGCACTTACTGGAGGTAACCGATTGATGTTTCTCTCAGATCAATGTTTTTCTCTCTCTCTCCCCCTTCCTCACTCTCTAAAATCAATAAAAAACATATCCTTGGTGGAGATTTTTTTTTTTTTAAGTGAGGATATAGAGCAAGCCCAGACAGTTTACAGAAGGCTGGTAAGAGCAGGAAGGGAGGAAGACTGTAGTATGATGATGTATACAGAGCAGATGCCTTTCTTCTAGTAGTATGCTTTGGAAGATAAAAAGGAGGCGATTACCAGTGAGCAAGAATTATCAGTCCATTGCTCCTACAGTTGACTGTTGCGGAGTAAGTGGTTAATCTGTACAGTCATTTCAAGTGCTTCCTGTGGTTAGCCACTACACTTCAGAATGGTGGTATGAGAGTGTGACTTGACTAAACGTCCACAGGCAGGGCTGGGACCTCTTCAAATGGCCTCTTCCAACCAGTAACAAGTGAGACTAAGTAGCTGTGGCAGAAAATTCCTTGATTCACTGCCACATCTCCATTCACTCAGTTGACTAAGTGAGAGACTTAGCGGTTGTTACTCTTGACACCTGCCTCTCTCAGCCTCAACATTCATCACTTGGTCCTATTGATTCTACTTCCCACTTCCCAACTATATGCACTCTTACTGCCACACCCCACCAGCCAGAGCCACTATCACCTCCCACCATTACTATTGCAATAGCTTCCTAACTGGCTTCTCTGCTCTACTGGTGGTTCCAGGCTTTCCATTTAGGTAAAACTTAAGGACAGCAAGTGAGTTATAAACACTTGGTTCCAATTAAATTTTTATATAAACACACTGTTTACCTTGGCTGTGCGTTTGGGGTGTAGGAAGGTGGCGTCAGAGGTGGCTATTAGAAATTCTCCAGCTGTTGCTTTCACATGTGTAATTATATGACTAGTCGAATCTTGACACTCATGTGAAGTACCCCTGATGTTAGCAGCTACAGTATAAATCGATGCTGTGCAAGATGGCAGAGCGTTTACTTAGAGTGCATGTGTATCTAGTAAGCAGGATTGGCTGCATGTTTTGCAGAGCCCAATGCAAAATGAAAGTGGAGGAAGCTCTATTCAGAAACTTTTAAAAATTTCAAAACAGTACCAAGCAGAGCATTAAACCAAGTGCAGGGAGGGCCCTGTGCAACTGAACAGGCTGCATGTTCCATGGCGCAAACTGGCTCTGTCAGTGAAGCTTAGTGTGTGTGTGTGTGTGTGTGTGTGTGTGTGTGTGTGTGTGTGTACAGACAAGCAAGGATAAATTAATAGAGATTATGGGGGAACTGGGATCTCTCTACTCCAGGGCAGCACCAATGCTTCTGTTCTTGCTCCTCCCTAAACCATCCACCATATTTGATAGCCAAAATGATCTTTTAAGTAAATGTATATCAGGTCATGTCTCTCCCCTCTTCACGCCTATTAATATCTTCCCACATCACTATAAATAAAGGACATGATTTTCATCATGTCCCAAAATGTGCTGTTTATTCTGATCCTGATGACCTATTTAATCTCATTTCACATCACTCTTCTTCACTTGATACATTCCAACTACACTGGCCTCCTTTCATTTTTCTGTAATGTACCAAATTCTTTCTCATCTCTAAGCCTTTGTACATGCCATTTCCTCCATTTGGAACATTAGATCCCACTAGTCTTGCTTTTCTTTCAGAACTCTTACCATAGTTTTATTACCATATATTTATTCCTATGAGGATTTATTTATGACTGACCACCCCACCATGACGTAAGCATGTTGAAGGTAAGAATGATGTTTGCGTTTATGATTACTGTGTGCTCAGTACTTAGCCCAGAGCTAGACAAGTAATACAGACTCAGTAATGGACCTGCATACAGTATGGACCTGCATGACTTGAAAGTTCCTTCATTCCTTTAACAAATAGGAATGAAGGAACTTTTAAGTCATGCAGGTCCAAACATAAGAACTGCTTCATTCCAATGGCTCTAATCTGATAGTGCAGGAACCCTACCTGGATGCGGGTAGCCATTCTCATTGCCTAGGGATGACCCCAAATGGTCCAATAATCTCTTTTATAATCAACTTATGAATGCCACTCATTGTTCCATCAATAGTAAATTTATCTCAAAGTCATTTCATCTTGTTCTATTATAGCTTGTTATAGCTATTAGTATAACCAGCTTCTATATGTTAACCATCTTCTCTGTGTTCTCTTTTATCTATCCTATATCAACTCACATTCTTTTCATTTTTTTGTGCAGGAGTACAAAAATGAAGCAGCGAAAGCATTACTTTTCTTTGTCTGATGCTCTGGAAAATATTATGCCCTAAAGAGAGATGTTAACTGCCCTTTAATTCTCCATCACTCCAATTAATGCTATAGAAACAGTGGCCTTGCCGAAACTGGTTTGGCTCAATGGATAGA